CCACGGTAGGGGATCCCAGAGAAGGAAATCCTATAGGTAAGGGAACAGGGGGATTTTAACAACGGAGTTATTCCCTCCTCATTCTTGTTCTTGTCCAATGAGAGGAGTCCTTTCAAACTTCCTGTGGAGTGATTGATCTTCGACTCTGATCCTGGATTGGTTGCTTGGGCCCACAACAGAGTCTCTCCTCCCAGGGCTTTTGAGGGGCTTTCTGAACAAAAGAAGTTCACCTGGAATTTCTATCAAGCCTGTGCACGGGAAAATTAAAGAACTTTACATTTGAAACCCCTCTGGTCCCTAGATGTGGGCATGGATGGAAGTATGGCGCTGGGTAATTTCTGCTTTTGAAACACAGGCAATTTTCTTAACACAGTCCCTCATAAGTATACAGTGAAGTAAAGCCTTTGCTATTATTATGATTAGTGCTATTATGACTATTAGTGGTGGCGGCATTAGTCACAGTCATGGTAGGGTAATAATAGTAATGTCGAGAGTTGTATGCAGGAGATGAGCCTAACTGTAAGAGGAATTTTAAAAACTGTAGGGTCACTATTATAAGCCATCCATATTCTGCATAGTTTATGCACATGCAAGTATAGATTTCAAGGATGTTTTGAACTTCCTGAACATTCATCTTCAAGATAAGGCCTGGAATATGTTGAAGCTTCTTGAACAATGAAGAAAAAAGAGCAGATGAGAAAGAAACTCCGATACCAAAGTTCTGCTGTTGCTGCATTACTGGTATACACATCACCCCATAAAACAAGATTCCAAGCATCCTAGATTCCATCCCTGCTCCATATTTTATTGCTACAAATACCACAGGTAGCCCCCTTTCCTTTATCTTTTTACTAAAAAAAAAAAAAAAAAAAATGCATACTCACGCAATCACAGAGTGACAGCAAAACCAGACACTATGTAAGAGTGTGATTTTGATCATGGGTTTCGGGAAAAACCTAAGTAAGCAGAGAAAGAAAGGAGATCTCAGAGAGATGACAAATATTAAAAAAAAAAAAGAAGAAGAAGAAGAAGAAGAAGAAGAAGAAGAAGAAGAAGAAGAAGAAGAAGAAGAAGAAGAAGAAGAAGAAGAAGAAGAACTGTCGATTCAATGGCAGGGCCTAAAGGAAGGAAGAATAGCTGGCATCGGATCACAGAGAGAAAGACTTAATTGTAAAGATCAGAGCAAAACTAGGATATTTGAAAAAGCATATTTTAGAAGTCATACTGGTTTTGCTAATTAAAAGTCTGGGTATTAAGGTCAGGAACAAGCATAATTATGACACACAGGATAAATTTAAAGCAAAGTTTATCTGGAAAAAAAAGTAACAGAGAAAATCAATATAATGCTTTTAGTTCCTTAGTTACTTTCTCCATCTCACAGAAAGGAGTGCTTGGGCTAGGTACACAGAAAATGCTCTTGAAGAGAATCTCTTTTCTAGGAGAGAGCAGAAGGTACCAAATCCTTTGATCTGTCTGATCGAGATAAGGGCAGCACGACAAAATGAACATTCTTCCCTCTGATTTTGTCCTCTGAAGGAATCCATTTGCCAGTCATAAAAGACAAGTAGAAACTGAATAGCCTTTCACACTTACCTAGTTCAGTTCTACTGAATCAATTCGTTGTTAGTCCACCTTGAGGCACGGAATGGAGAAAACCCATATGGTTGCTCAGAAGAAAAAGAATTTTTTTTTTCTCTACTTAATAGGGTGTGGCCATAAGGTTGCAAACTGGAATGGAGAGGAAGAAATGATTATTGGGAATGAGAAAGTGAAGGCAAGGAAGGGGTGGGTGTATCATTGAAGATCATGTAAGTGGCTGCTAAACTTCTTAAGTAGGAGGACAGTCAGAATTTTAAAACAAAATAATAAAACATAATAAAAATAATAAGAGGTTAACACAGGTATTCAGTTTCAATGAATGAAAAGGAGTAACGATTTGGTCTTGAAATGATTTTGCCAAGTAGAGTTAAACAAGAAATAAGCTGATGGAAAGCATGGAGAAAAGATGGAAGAAAAGTGCCTCGGCAATGGCAAGACAGAAGATCATCTATTCCAGCTCCGGGCCCTGTTGTACATGGCTCTGAGAATTAGTATCATTTTTCTTTTGAGAAATAAAAAATAAAAAGAATCTTTAGACAACAGCCAGCTTTGAGTTAGAACAGAGAGCTGAAGAGAATGTTCAAAGAAAAGTTGAAGGAGTCAAAGGGTTTTGTAGTGTCACACTGAGGGCCACCAATGGGGATAATTGGACTGAAGGTATTTCAATAAGATCCTAGGATATTTCAAGCCACAGAGTATTTAGAATTATGGTCGTGGTAGATGACTGGAGAAGCTTAAACTTCTGAGAAAACCTGATAAAAGATCAAATGTAAACAATGATGGGATTAATATCAATGGCTTGCTAGAGAAAAGAAGGGAATTTATCATTTTTGCTTGATTCTTAAGTATAGTTTAATCTTCAGGTCGCAGGAGCAAGTCCTTGGTGCTGAGGACTGGAAAGGGATATTTATAGTAGTGACATTCAATAGCTATTGAGCAAAGCATTTCAGTTTTAGTTAGAAAGGTGTGAATGTGTGTTACCAAGAGCAGAGGGTGGTCTTAAATTCCAGGGTGTTCCTATGAGTGGTATCATAGCACAGGGAGCTTCTGTCTCAAGATTTTCCTAGTGCAATACCATAAATATGTCTTTATAGGACTGTGTGAAGACTGAAGAACTAATTGTAAGCTTAAAAACTCACTTGACTACAAAGTTTATTTTTTATTACAGTACAAGATAAACTGGCTTTGTGTCTATTTTTTTAGTTTTTCTTTCTCAACAATTTGTGAAATTATCATTATACAATAGAATATATTTATAATCATAAAATGCAAAAAAAGATGAAGTTTTATATTCGGCGTGATCTATCCATCTTTTTGAACAGCACTAAATAGATGGAGTCCTTAAGTATGAGAATGCATTATGTTCAAAGAAGAGGAAAAGAAAAATATCCATATAATTTTTTTTCACAATGAGGTAGTACATTCACTACTCCAAATAATTAAGAAAAAGTGAACTCAGGCTAATATTGAATATTTCACATAATATTTTACATTTACTGTTAATAATTTTTTTATGTTTAAATACACAAAAGGAGGGCATAGAGTCTGCTACTATAATGACTAATAGTTTTGTACAAACATGTTTGCTAAATATTCATATATATTACTGCAATGATGAAGAGTTGTTTTCATGTGATATAGAACGCTACTCACATTTGAAAATTTACAAGTAGCTATACACGTGATATAAAAGAATTTTTGTGAATTCCAAAGTTTAAGTCCTTTGTTTTCAAATGCCAGTTCCATACCAAATGAAAAAGGTAGAAGACCTTTCACTTGGCAACCCCTTTTTTTTCCTCCTTTCTTCAGAGTAGTAAAAATAACTTCAAATCAGGATTTAGACTCCTCTGTTGAATTGTGGATTTCACACAAAACAGTCTTTTCCCACAGATGGATTTCAGTGGGAAACAAAATATATGCCACATTAGGGATTTAAATCTTTTATTTGTGAATATTTACCTTAAACTATGATCAAATATTTTGTTTGGTTCCTTTTTCCCACTTTACATACATTACTTTATCTCAACATTAATAAAGAGGCTTCTATAATATGTAGTTTTATTTAAAGGAGAAAGTAGACCCAGAGACATAAGTCTAAAGGAGCCTGTGAATTTTAAATTAAGTTTCTTTGCCTCAAGAAAACAGTCTTAGCCTCCATGAAGAATTCACCAAGCTGTCTTAACCACTTGAAATCTATCTAGCCCTGGGAATATGCATCAGGCTTAAATTCTTCCTTCTTTTTCTTTTTTTATGGATGAACAAAACAAAGTTCCCTCTTTTGCCCACCTCCTACACTTCAAACACAGAAGTATTTAAAAGCCGTTCACTCCATGTTCAATCACCACGCGGTAGTAGTGTCACATTTTATTTGGGGATATGTAAAATTGTATTTTTTTAAACATTTGTTTTCCTTTTCAAGAAATGAATTTTCATAAAGCACAAGTCTCAGATAGGTACCTCTATTATCTATACTTCATAAATAAGCTTTACCATTGGGGGAAAAAAGAAGTGGAGTTGTTTTTTCCATTGTCATTTTTCCTTTGAAGCATTAAATAGGATATTGATATTTTTTCACACTTAAGCTATTTACTTACTGTGACTTAACGAGCCGTTATAAAGTGAACCATATTCCCACCGTGCATTTCATACAACTATTACTAGAACTTCTTTTCAGAAGGATTTATCTACTAATCAATAGCTTTCTTATTGTGCCATTTCCAGAAGTACTAAAGAGACTTCTCTCTGAAGCAGCGTTTGACTCTTGCTTTGGTTTACCCTCTCTAAGAGTTGTGCAATGTACGACAGGGATTCTAACAGGTGGATCATGTAGTTTTTGTGATGTGGCTGTGGTCACCAATATTTCTGGTTATTTCCAGGGAAGATGAAACTCATTCAATTGCATTATCAAGTAAAAGGCAAAGTCGTTCTAGAAATATAAAATTATACTTAAAATCATTACCTTTACTGAAAACAAATATGTCAATCATTAATGTTTAGATGTTTAACAATGTTTCTAAAGGATTATTTTAGATTATAAACTCATAAAGGCACAGAGAAAAAATACGTGGTTATCAAAGATAAATATTATCTGGATTTTTCTTTTCTTATTCTTAAACTTGACATTTTGACACTGAATTGAAATAGGTAGTAGTAAATTCTGCAGAAACCATACACAAAATTCCTTTTGAGCAACAGCACTCTCCCTGTGATATATGTTTTCTACAGATGATTTACAGGTTACAGACATGCTGTGACCTCTCTCTCCCAATTGCAAACAGATTAAGGAGAGCTGATTAACCGGGACTAAAAACGCGGGGTTGTTTTCTCTTATGTGGGGACTTTGACAAAGCCCTCCTTTCTGAGTCCTCCCACTTCATTCGCTTTCAAATCACTGTGCCCAAAGAGGTCTTCACTCCCCCAAGCCCAAACCTGGAGCCCTGCAGCGCCATCAGCGGCAGTATCTTCCTATTTGAGGGACGTCTCTTATTAATCAGAAACGCTGAATGGAAACCAATCAGATAGAGAGTTCCTTTGGCTTCAGCTTCCTGCCTGTCTGAGTTAAAAGTGATGCTCGAAGAGAAAGCCACACTGAGATGCATGAAGATTCAGCTGTGAAGATACTATAAAAAGAGAGGAGAAGGACCGAGACAGAAGGAACAACGGAATTGTCAGTGCTGAGTAGTGCTAAACTCCGTTCCATTGTTAAGCAAGGTAAGTGTTATTTACTTTGCTTGACAATATATGCTCTTCAGTTTTTGCTTTCTTATAATGAAGTAGTACAAATATTGCTTTTCTCCTAGTTGCTATATTTTGCTCTCTCTCTCTCCCTCTCAACATTTGGAAGCACGTAAGAATACATTTTATAGTATTTGAATAAAATGTTTATACGCTCAGTGAGAAAACTTGCAACATTTGCTTCTTATTTTACTTTTACAAAGCTGATACCTACTCAAGCTCTTTATGTAGTCCTCAAATGTGCATCTGGAATATTGTTGTAAAAATAAAACTAAACTTAAAATTCTATCAGTTGATCATGGTGGCTTTCAATTACTCACATATTTGTGTGTTCATGTATATGAATATTATATTAATTTGAAATGGATGCTGGTCTTCTCATAGCTTTTGTTTAAATTATTTGAGTCAAAAATGTCAAAAATAAGGGCATTTTAATTCATAATTGAACAAGAAATGCTTTCTTTATTTTCAATATTATAAATGAAATAAAATATGAATAGTAAAAATGCCACAGATGCATATTGGATGTCAGGATTAAGGTGATCACTTTACCTGGTAAGAGAGCTTTCTTCACAGATTTGTGGCTCTCACTCAGGTTGGCACTCTGAATGTATATGTCTGTTAGTTATAATTGCTTTCCATTATTGTAGGCAAATGTGTCTTAATATAATGAAGACTAGATGAAAGCCACAGGAGAGGGATAGTGTTTCTAAGCCAAAATTGGCATTTACAAAATTTTAAGTGATGTGGGAAATGCATTGATTTGGTGGAACATTGTTTTATTGTGTTTTCCATTGCATGCTCAAGATCACCATTCACATCAAATAAATTTTTGCAAGCATTCTCCTCTCAAAAAAGCCTTGATTTTATCTATAAGGTCATCAAAATTTTTTAGTATTGATAGTTAGAAACTGTTACCAGGGTGAAATTCTCATAATCTGGTTTAAATAATAACAGGGTAATAAAAAGAAAGTTATTAACTGTAGTAAATAAGTTTACATTTATTTGTATCATCAACTTTTGATGAGAATGTAATGAACTTCAGATTTGAGGAGAAATTCGTGGTTTATCCGGGAGATGTATTGTCATTTTATATTTTATGTTACAGATATATGAAATTCCTAATGATTTTTTCACAAGCTTTCTAAAATCTTTGTAGCATGGAGAAGGAATGATTTTGTAAATCAGAAAACGTGGTAACTTTTGCAAACAGTAGGGAATCTTCCTTGGGCTCCCTTTGCTTTATCTCTGAATTTAGAAGCGTTACCCATCTTTAGTCACAGTTGGTTAAGATGAATTTGATTATTCAAGGTTCTCAAATTTTGTGAAAAACCTCCTCCTACATTCTATAGAAGGTGTATCCTATTTTTCAGATTCAGACACTACATCATTGCCTAGGCAATGCTATGTCAGTTATGAGATACATTTTTGCAACTGTAAAACTGACTAATCCAGGTTTAAAACAGATCTTTTTAAAGATAAGGAAGATGAAATAACATGCTATTACAACACGTAGCACCAAAGAACTTGAACGTAACATAAATAGCATGTGTTTGTAGTCTTGTCACCAAGCATGTTATGGGCTCAACTAAAGTTTTTTCAAATGAAGAGTACATAAATAATTATATGCACTTAATAGATATATGCTGACATGTTGAAATACCATCATCCCTATATGTGTTTTGAAAAATGAAAAAAAAAATGTAAAATAGTTTTGATGTAAAATAAATTATGACAAAATTTAATTCTGGAAATAAATAAAAAATACTTTAGAGAAAGCCTAGAGTACTATGAATTTAAGAGTAATTAACTAAATTTAAGTCAGATAGATTTGATAGTACTAATAAAAACAATAGTCTTATGAGACAATTTTTCTAGAATAAAAAATTTTTTCTTTTATTACAGTATTTGATAGTTTTAAAAACATTTGACATGGTTTACAGAATTATGATACTGTTCTTGCGTTCATTGCATAATGGAAATAAAAATGTCTTATACCACTGCCTGTCTTTAAAAAGATCACAATATCAAAGTGGATCTTGAAACTGCTCTTTTAAATATTGTGTTGCTCAACTTGATAAATCATGTGTTGAATCAGGAGCTCATCTGAACATCACCTGGCATGGAGGGATTTCTTCTGGTGTTTTCCTGTAACCCCTATACATGCCAAGCTTAGCCAATGCAGTGTCCCTTTCAGGGTACAGTCACCATGCAAGATTTTTAAAGTAAAGTTAATTGGATTTTTTTTTTTATTTCACTAGCTTAGCTCTATTTAGGTATCAATAGTGATATCAAGCATATGCCCCTTTCCCACAATATTTCTGCAATATATGGGTGTAGTTAATAAGAATGCTTTAGAGAGTGCCTACCAATTATGTAATATAGGATATGCAATTAATGTGGCAACATATAGTATGAGAGAAAGTATAAATTAAGTTGAAAGTTAATTTAAAAAATATATGTGAATGTGTCATGAATAAACATTGGCTGTAACTTGTTCTCTATGAAAGTAAACAGCCTAGATAGATAATTATTCAACATTAATGCAGATGTTTCACTATAACTTATCATTAATTTGCTACATTCTTTAAGACTAATTTGTTCACCCCAAGGCACAGTTAAATATGATGTGCAAATAATCTTGGATTAGAAAAAAAATGATACCTTAAAAAGTGTTCAATATACCACTTTTGACTTCAAGGACACACACACACATACACACACAAGTCAATAGCAATATTAACACAGAGTAATTTTGGTTCATAGTGAGATTTTTTGTAAAAAAACCTCTAGTTAGTTTCTTGGGTATTTTACCTTGTAAATGATCTGCTTAAAGTTGAATTTTCTTAAGGAAGAAGAAAGCGTGCAAAATAGGATCAAAAGGACATTGATTTAAAATGAGCCTTGTTTGTTTTTACCTGATGCTAAATTTATAAATACGATCATTTTTATTGTAGAACCATAAAGCATGCTTCGTAAGATAAAGCAATTTCTTTCTCTGTATCTTGCATATTTGTTTTCAGAAACAGTTGTCTTTTTAAAGATACTTCAAATAGATGTCAATACCCAAGACATTACCTTATTTAGGTGTTTACATAAAATTTTGGAACTTTACAAAAGTAATTTTAACTCTCTCCATCACTAATTTTACACATAAAAAAGCAGAGATTTAGAAAGGTCAGCTTACACAACCAAGACTGTCAAGTTTTATATATATATATATATATATATATATATATATAGTCAATATTGTGTAGAAATGTATATTGTCATGAACTTCAAATTAGAAATATAGAAAAATACATAAAGATAGATGGCAGACAGACATAGATAGATGATAGATATACACATAGATGATGGATTGATAGAGAAATACATAGAAGATAGATAGATAGATAGATAGATAGATAGATAGATAGATAGATATTATTGAAAACAATTCTGGATTGTTATAAATAATCTAAAAAAGTTTTTTTTTTTATTTCTCTTATGAGTCATTTCATTTTCTACCTGGAAGTACAATTATCCTCATTATTAAAATATGGTAAGGAGTGTACAGTGAGGAAAATGTCTTTATAGCACTCTTATACATTTCCATAATAGCCCTAACATGTTAATGCACTTATTCCTAAATTTAGCACTTATAAGGCATGGTCTTCTAGCCACAGTACAAATGCAAAGTGCCTGAAAAAAAGCAGGCTCTCTGGAGCCTGACCAAGAGATTTCATACTAACACTTCCAAGAAACACCTCTCCAAATATAAAAGTCATTATAATGGCTCTCATTGGCTATGACTGGAAAGTGGAAACATCATGGGGTGTTGTGGCCAGATGCTCTGTGTGAGTGTCTGTGTATATGTGTGTGTGTGTTGTGTGTGTGTGTGTGTGTGTGAGAGAGAGAGAGAGAGAGAGAGAGACAGAAAGAGAGATGTATTATTTATTTATATTTTAGGAAGAGAGGTTAAAAAAGAAAGAAAGAAAAGAGCTGAATATTTTCTTAAAGTTACATTCAAGGTTTTTCTGAGTTTTTTTTCCCCATCCTATTAATTTAGCAAATTATAAACCAATTGCAGGAGAAATTAGTGTTCTTCTATAGCTTCCATTTCTTTTGATTAGCAAGATAATCTTTGATCTCTCTAATTGATCGATGAAACACCAGAGCATATGATTGTTTCAGAAATATGGATTAAAAACCCAGCCTCTCATATCAGATTTTGAAATTGGCTCTACAATTCTGAAGAGTGTGGATGACTTCATTTTAATTTCTACTCCAAACACTAACTCAGTTTACAAGGGAAATAGTAATAACTAATAGTTATTATTTAAATTTCAATATAAAAGATTTAACATGGTCATTAATGTGTTGAATATTGGAAGAAACATATATCTAATAGAATTTATGTTAGAATATGCTGCACTTAACATACTTTATATATTATTAATACAGTTTCCAAAGCATAATAGACTCTTTCCTCATATTTTGTAAAAGAGGCTCTTTGGAAAGTCGTACAAAAAAAAAATGATATACACAGGAAGCTGTCTAACAGGGGAGACAACAAATAATGCATATAACAAAGTGTAATCCAGGCAAATGAGGAATAGTAATTCACTTCCTGGGTCAAAGGACATGATATAAAATATACTGCTTTTATAAAATTGGGAAATCAGCCTTAAAAGTTTTCTAAGGGAGTTTTCACCAATCAACCAATTCTAAAATGTATTTTTTTTTCTACCAAAGCAGTTTACTGTAGTAATAGTACATAATTTCTAGAAATGTTTTAAAATATTCATGTCTATATGTTATAAATACTCCATAATATAAAGAACACATAAGAAATTTATTTTTAAAAATGTTAAGGATAATTAAGCCACAGAGGAAATGTAATGATTTCCCATTACGGAAAACTTAACAGCTTAAGAAAACTTAGCAGAAATTAAGAGAAAACTTAGCTCAAATTCCAGAGTAACAACTATGTG